AGCGGGATACCACGTGATGGATTGGGGGGGGAACAGCGGGGCTTAAAGGGACGCGGGATGGGGCCGCCCGCGATGCGCAGCGTGCGACGCCGCGGGGAGGTGAGCGGGGCCCTGCGGGGGGGAAAAAGAGCAAAGCTTCCCATCCCACCCTTAGAACGGGTTCAGCCGAGGTGACAGCACACGGTCGTCTGCAGCCAGGCGTCCCCGTGGGGAGCCAGGTTCCTTATAGGGCGGATCCTTATAGGGTCGATTCCTATAGGGCCTTCTGTGCAGGTGCACCGTGCCGTTTGTAGCCCTGGGGGCTGCGGGTCCGGCCCCAAAGCACTCGGGTGAGCCGTGTGATGATTGCTGCGGGAGGAGCTGCGCTCCCTGCCAGCTGATGGGAACGCCGAGCGCTTCTATTGATGCACTGCACGAGGCCTTCCTACCGCCTCTGTGCTTTGGGACGGCCGGCAAGAAAACGAGGCGAGAAAACCTCGCCCTATAGAGACACCGAAAGGCCAACCTGCGTGCTTGCTGTTCGAGCCGAAGGGGAAAAGAAATCCTGAGGTTTATTGTTTGTCGGCAATGAGCTGATGGGAGGCTGCCCCTATAGCTGCACTGCTTTGGGATAACCCCCATTCTGCCTGCTGTTGTGTCTGTGGGGAGGGCTGTTGGTACGCTGAAGGTTTGAGGCTGGCAGCAGCAGCAGCTTTGTGCTCCTTTCTCTTATCTCCTGCCAGCTGGAGTGGTCCCCAGGTGGTAAAAGCAGACTTTCTCCCAAAGGGTTTGGCTTGATGGCCAACTGAGTGTAAACAGGAGAAGAGTTCAAAGTCTGGATGACCGGAGCTCGGAGTTTCTGATGAGGACAACGAGTGTGCCGGCTTGTGCAACAGCTTCCTCCAGAATAGACTCCTTGTTATGTAATGACAAGGTGCTGCTCTCAGTGTCAGCGTTAAGCTTTGACAAAGCAAATAACCCAAATCCCAATTTTTACAGCAGCTTTTCTCTAGCTGTCTGTAACTGCTCCCTAACTTCTGAGGTGTTGGAGATAAAGCATCAAGCAGTTGTGGTCCAGGGAGCTCAGCAGAGCTGGGCATCGTATACCCAACCTGCAGAGCTTCTTGATGTTCTGGAAAGCCAACAAGCACATCTGAGCATTCTGCAGGGCAGGGAAAGATGGGATGGTCTCTAACCTCAGTTCCAGGCAGCCACAGTTGGTGAGGAAGTGAACGTAGCACCCTAACTGGTGAAGGAAATAGCTGAATGTATGCAGTGCAAATGTCTACAGAGGTGGTGTGTCTTGTAGAGAGAGAAATGCCACAGGGTGATGTCCATAAGGACAAAAGAAAGGATGGCATGCAGGGGGCCCTGTTTCAGAAAGGATTCTTCCATTTTTTTTCTTGTTTACCTTCCCTATTAGCAGTTGTCCTTATCTCTGTGTTGTAGAGAAATGCTGCCTTTTGGGAATAAACAGATGGGAATTCATGAAGTTGGATGCAGTCCAAGGGGTAGCTGCTGGAAAATCTGCTGGTGTGTGTAGCCTGAGACTGCAGGATCAAGAAGGTCTTCAGCTGGTGCATGGGGGCATCACAGCCTGCTAAACTGCAGACAGAGCAAAAGTCATGTTAACCTGACTGTCGTGAGAGCCAAGTTTGATCCTGCAGTCACAGAAGAGTTGCATCGAGGTGGCGCGAAGCCAGCTGCTGTGTTATTTTCAGCACTGTGTAAATGCGGTCATTTTACTGTGTTTTCACAAGATTGTCTGCCATAGCTTACAGTGAGGGCTGGTCAGAGGGACCTCTTGGTGATGATTGATGGTGGTTGTAGCACAGGACCCCTTTTCCTTTTACTTGCCATCAGATGCATGTCCTGTACCCACTGTGCCGCTTCTGAGCAGCCTCAGTAAGTTTGCAGATGACACCAAGGTGGGAGGGAGTGTTGATCTTCCTGAGGGGAGAAAAGCACTGCAGAGGGACCTGGATGGACTGGATCTATGGGCCAAGGTTAGCTGTATGAGTTTCAATAGGGCCAAGTGTCGGGTCCTGCATTTTGGTCACGACAACCCCAGGAAACCCTACAGGCTTGGGGAAGAGTGGCTGGAAAGCTGTCTGATGGAAAAGGACCTTGGTGTGCTGATATTCAGTCGGCTGAATATGAGCCAGCAGTGTGCCCTGGTGGCCAAGAAGGCCAATGGCATCCTGGCTTGGATCAGCAATGGTAAGCAGGACCAGGGAAGTCATCCTGCCCTGTTCTTGGCACTGGTGAGGCCTCACCTCGAGTTCTGTGTTCAGTTTTGGGCACCTCAGTACAGAAAGGACATGGAGGTGCTGGAGCAGGTCCAAAGAAGGGCAGCAAGGCTGGGGAAGGGCTTGGAGAATGTGCCCTGTGAGGAGAGACTGAAGGAACTGGGGCTGTTCAGTCTGGGGAAAAGGAGGCTGAGGGGAGACCTTATTGCTCTCTTCAAATACCTGAAAGGTGCTTACAGAAGGAGCGGGGTTGGTCTGTTCTCACTGGTGACAGGACGAGGGGAAATGGCCTTAAAAGCTGCACCAGGGTAAGTTTAGGTGAGCTATTAGGAAATACTTTTTTTACAGAAGGGGCTGTTAAGCACTGGAATCGGTGCCCCAGTGAGGTGGTTGAGTCACCATCCCTGGGTGTGTTTAAAACCCATTTGGACGTGGTGCTCGGGGACATGATTTAGCAGAGGTTGTTAGTTGGGGTAGTACGGTTAGGTCATGGTTGGACTCATTGATCTTTAAGGTCTCATCCAACCTGAGCGATTCTGTGATTCTGTTCCCCTTCTCTAGAGCGCTCACCATGGTCAATGAGAACCAGCATACCTGCAGTGCCAGCTCCAGCTCCAAGTCCGATGGCGGCAGCAGCAGTGGGAGTGAGAGCTCCAAGGACAGCTCACGCTGCTCCACTCCTGTCCTCGATGCCGAGCGTCACGAGCGACTGCGGGAGAAGATGCGGCGACGGCAGGACTCTGGGGACAGGTGGTTCTCCCTGGAGTTCTTCCCTCCACGCACAGCCAACGCTGCTGTCAATCTCATCTCCAGGTGAGGGCCGCAGGGTAAGAGAGGGGATAGATGAAACCTCGTTGGTGGAGGGTTGGGAAAAAGTTAATGAGGCAGGCTCTGCCCCGTGCTCTGTCTCCCCTTCCAGGTGACGAAGCAGGTAATGGGGCTGTGCTTTCCTGCTGAGGAGGGTAATGGACACCAGGTAACTTATCTTCCTTGGAGGCCCTCAAGTGTCATGGTGGGGTTGTTGAGAGTGCAAGGCTGCTGCCATGCTCTAGGTCTGAAGTGCTGGGGATGATAGAGTAATAGCTATTTAAAACAGAAAATATTTCATGGACATTACGCTCAGATCTCTGGGACTGAACTCCCACAGGTTGTCAGAATCATTCAGCCACTATAGTTTGTGCCTCTGTTTTACCAAGGACTCCAGTTTTAGACTCTGAGACTGGTTTCCCCATGCACATGCTGTGTGGAAGGTGACAGATCTCAGCAGAACTAAAGGTTATCCAGGAGCCTGAGCCACCATGTACTCGTCTGGAAGAGAAGAGGGATTCTCATAACCCTTTCTGTAATTGCTGTATGCCAGTGCCATGTTTACTTTAAACAGAAGGGCCTGTTCCAGCCCAGAGCAGGAGAGAGGAAAAGTTAGAGGAGCCTTCATCTCTTCTGTGAGGCACGCTTGGAAACACCACAGAGATCTGGCCTTCCTTTCCGTGTTTGTGGCCTGTAACAGTTAAAGCTGGGAAAGGAGGTTCTGGTATAGTCTTCCATCTCAAAGTGAATGGGATGTGCATTGTGGTCTACCAGATTGTGCATCAGACTAACAGAACACATTGAGAGGAGGTTTATTCTACAGAGAAGACTTAAATTGCTTCCTTCCTCCTCCAAGAGATTCTCAGTTCTTCTTCATTCAGCCTCAAGTGATTATTATCTTTGTTCATTTCATATTTGCCACATGTTTAACTCTTAGTTACACGCTTTTTTTGGTGACTCCTGCTGCTGTCATCCAAGTTTTCCCTGCTTGTTGATGGCATTCCAGCAGGGAGCAAGATATACTGGCATAGAGAGGAGGTGAGCTGGCTACCCGGTAGGTTAACATAGCTCTAAAATCCACAGGTTTGACCGCATGGCAGCAGGTGGTCCTCTCTTCATTGATGTGACGTGGCATCCTGCAGGGGACCCAGGATCTGACAAGGAAACCTCCTCCATGATTATTGCCAACACTGCAGTCAACTACTGTGGCCTGGAGACCATCCTTCACATGACGTGCTGCAATCAGACCAAGGATGACATCACAGGGCACCTGCAGAAGGCCAAACGGCTGGGGCTGAAGAACATCATGGCACTGCGTGGAGGTGAATCCTTTTGTCCTAGAGCACTTAGTAGGGCTGAGGTGGTGTTGCTGTTAACATTCAGCTTCATGGCAAGATGAAGAAGTAACAGTTGGAAGAACTGCATTTATTCTCTTTCCAGATCCTGTTGGTGAGGAATGGGAGGAAGAAGTACACGGATTCAATCATGCTGTTGACCTGGTTAAGCACATTCGCAGTGAATTTGATGATTACTTTGACATCTGTGTGGCAGGTATGCATTTTCTGATGCAAAGTGTGGGGTAGGATATGAGATGGGGAAATCAGTCCAGCAGTCCCTTTCTGGACCTGGGCTGTAAATGACACAGAGATTGGCTACTTCCTAATTTCTGATGTGTTGTCTCAGCTTTTCTTTTCTTGATCCCCTCCAAAGGCTACCCCAAGGGTCATCCTGAAGCAGAGAGCTATGAGGCAGACCTGAAGCACCTGAAGGAGAAAGTTCTTGCTGGAGCAGACTTCATCATTACACAGCTTTTCTTCCGACCAGAAACCTTTCTTAAGTTCATGAAGGACTGTCAAGCCATTGGCATTACCTGCCCCATTATTCCTGGCATCTTCCCCATACAGGTGAAATCAAGTTATTCTGGCTTGGGGAGGCTATGTGGAAACGTGTTACGTGTTCTGGGGTCAGGGCCTGAGAGAGGTCTGTGAATACCTCCAACAATTTCTGGGAAGTAGGAGTGCTAAACGTGTGATAAATCTGTAGGTGGTTTGCTAAATGAAACTCTGTAGAGGTTTTCTGTACCCATATGGCACAGAGGGATATAAAAGGCAGTTCCCTACCTGTTCTGAGTGGTGAGACATCCCTGTCAGCATGCTGAGCTCAGGCACTGAGTAGGTGATGAAATCACCTGAACTGACAAAAACAGTCTGAATTACATGGGATCCTAGGGATGGAGGCCTGGCTGTATGAAATCCAGGAGCCCCCAATTCTGTCTCCTGCTGCAACGTTGAGATCAAATAGCTGTTACTGGACATGAGAAAAGGACCTGGAAAGACTGAAATCCTGTTTATCTTCACCCAGGGTTACCACTCTCTGCGCCAGCTGGTGAAGCTCTCCAAACTGGAAGTGCCCCAGGAAATCAAAGATGTGATTGAACCCATCAAGGATAACGATGCAGCTATCCGGAATTATGGGGTGGAGCTGGCAGTGTCCATGTGCCGGGAGCTGCTGGACAGTGGCCTGGTGCATGGGCTCCATTTTTACACCCTCAATCGGGAAGTGGCTACTACTGAAGTCCTCAAGCGCCTTGGCATTTGGAATGAGGACCCTAGGTGAGCTGAATATGCTGGTTTGTTTTAGTTCCTGAACATCCCATCTACTGAATGCATAAGGAATGGATGGGTTGGTTCTTCTCTTCTGCTTTTTAAGTACCTTTCTGCATTTAGACATTCATCCTTCCTGCAGGTCTCTGATAAAAGCTGGGAGGAAGGGTAGGTAGTGGAGGGAAGAACTGAAGTAGCCTGTTTGTGGAACTTTAAAACCTAAACTCTTAGAGATGCTGCTTGGAAGAAACACTTTTTTAAGACTCTCAATACATTCCTGATACAGAGAATGGGATCAGAGTCCACATCCTTCAAAATAGACAGGTAGAAGCACAGGCAGAGGGATAACTTTTCCTTCCCACAGTGCTCTTCCCTTACTTCACCCAATCTCAGATGTCAGTCCTGCACTTAACAGACACCTACCAAACAGCTGTGAAGGAAAACCTTTTGCATAAAGAAGGAAGAGGATTTTTGTCCTACCTCTTGACAAATAGATCTCTTCTTAGCTTTTGCTACTTGTTCTCTCCAGAGGCCAACTCTTTAGGAGGAAGGCTTCCAGCCTCTTCTAGAAAGACAGCAGGAGAAGCGTGTTGACTTCTGCTTTCTCTGTGCAGGCGACCTCTGCCTTGGGCAGTCAGTGCTCACCCCAAGAGAAGAGTTGAAGATGTTCGGCCAATCTTTTGGGCCTCTAGGCCAAAAAGCTACATCTATCGAACTCAAGAGTGGGATGATTTCCCCAACGGTCGATGGTAAGCTGTTAGCCTGCAATGGCAAGGTGTGGTACAACAGCCTGCTGCACAGTTGATCTCTGTAGTTAGTGGGTGTCTGATGCATGCCTTCAGCCTGGCAGAAATGATGGTTTGTTGTTGAAGAGGTCCCCAGTGGATTTGAATGAGGTGAAGAGAATGACAGCAAGGTTTTGGGGTTCCAGGTCTTCAGAAGGATTGTGGTGGATGCTTCTCCTGGCTGGCTGTTTTCTTGCATCATCAAACTGGTGCATCTTCATCAGTGCTTTGTTAATCCTGTGTCTGTTCTGCTTATAGGGGTAACTCCTCTTCTCCAGCCTTTGGGGAGCTGAAGGACTATTATCTCTTCTACCTGAAGAGCAAGTCTCCCCGTGAGGAGCTCCTGAAGATGTGGGGAGAAGAACTGACTGGTGAGGAAAGCGTCTTTGAGGTTTTCACATGTTACATCACCGGAGAGCCCAACAAGAATGGACACAGGGTGAGAGGTGGCCCTGGAAGGGCTGGTCAGTGTGGCACAGACAACAGTACTTCATGTCTCCTGTTCCTGTACAATGGCAGTTTCCTACCTAAAGCTGCTGAAATAGTGGCTGAAGGGGAGGGATACTCTCTCCAAAGAGAATCCGAGAGCCAGAGCTAGGGCTCAGCATAAAAAGCAAGCTGCTGTAGCATCATGCTGAGCTCATTCCTGGAGTTAGCATACCTGCTCTCCAAACAAAACCTGAGAATTCCGCCCTGTGTGAGATGTTCAAGATCACTAGGGCGTTTCTGAGTTCCTTCAGCATCAGTTAGTAACCAAAGGATTGTTGTGCACTCCCACACTGTAAGCCATCCTCTCTCCTCGTGGTAGGTTACCTGTATGCCCTGGAACGATGACCCTCTTGCTACTGAGACCAGCCTTCTGAAGGAGCAGCTGGAGAAGGTCAACAGACGAGGAATCCTGACTATTAACTCCCAGCCAAACATCAATGGCAAACCCTCCACAGACCCCATTTTTGGCTGGGGACCTAGTGGAGGTTATGTCTTCCAAAAGGTACTGCACTCTTCTGCTAGGTAGCAGTAAATTGTGACTTAGTACAGTCTCCAGGAGGTAGGAAGGTCTTAGGCTTCCAAACAGATACTACTTCTACCAGCTCCTTACTGTAATGCTTTCTTGCTGGGATAAGACAAAGCTCCTCTGGTGACTTAAGAGACAGATCATGTCAACTCTGTGGCTTACCTAGCTGTTTTCTCCCACTTCAAAACAATTTCTTGTTTTTACTCATAGCAAGCAATTGATGCTAAACACTTGCCAGAGCAGAGCTATCAAGTTACAGATTTAAAAAAACCAAAACCAACAATAAAACATGCCTGCCCACTGCAGCTGATCCCATTCCCAATGCAGGAAGCACCCAGGCTTCTCATAATAGTAATCAATGAAGCAGTATCTCTCCCATCCAGCTTTTCATGCTAATAACTGGGTATTTAAAAATTCTCTCATCCATCTTTCTCTAAGGCAGAGTTCTTCACCAGTTGCCTCCACTGCAGCACTTCTGCTGTGGTTACTTCTGGTCTGCAAGCAGTCTTATCTCTCATGCCTGCCTCCTACTGTCATGCATTTTCAGGCCCTACATCCTTGCTATTAATGGCTGTGATAGGAATCTCCTGTGTCAAGGTAAATGCCAGGCAAGTGCCTTGTACTAGGAAACAAAGCAGCTGTGTTCAAAAGGGATCCGAATTGCTAAAGCCATGAAATGAGCAGATGGCAAATGCAGTTATGTTTTCAAAGAAGAAAACAAATTCCCTGAGGTGAGGGGAAATCCATCATCACACAATGGCCAGGAAATGGGGGGAGGGGAAGCAGTTGTTGGAGCAGCCAAGCACAGAGCAGCAGTAGATGGAGGAAGTACAGAATTAGATTGTGTGAGCTCATTGGGAGGACTGAGGACAAAAGATGAGACTGGACAAAAGGCAGGGTGTTTCAGAGCCCAGCTGAGACCTCTGACTTCATCTGCTAGACTGGGCTGCCTTGGCAGGATACTCCTGTTCATGGGCTACGACACAAGTCAAGCTCAGGCTCCTTCCAGGAACTCTGGCCAGTATGGGCTGCTTTCCAGGCCCAGCAATTGTGGTTACACTGCCTGGAGCATATTATAGCCTGTCTGCTTACATGGGTACAGGTCAGATAGCTCGCAGCTTTCCCAAACTGGCCGTTCTCGGGCTGTTACCTCTGCTCTCCATGAGTTCTTTTTCTCAGCTCTTACCAATTTGTTTTGCCCTTTGCTCCAGTCCCCTTTGTAATACATATTTCTGGGGATGGATATAGAAGTCTTAGGCTTGTGCTAAAAAACACAGGTTACAACTGTTCTTTCAGTTGCCTCTGTGTCAGCCCTGCCATGAGCTAGGGCTCTTATTTTTTCTCTCTTCCCTCTCTGGCAGGCATACCTAGAGTTCTTCACCTCCAGTGAGATCGTCACAGCACTGCTCAAAGTGTTGAAGAAGTACGAGTTGCGGGTGAACTACCACATTGTCAACGTCAAGGTAGGCTGATATTTACAGGATACTTTCACCACCTTGGGAGAGAGGCAAAGGTCAAAGATGCAGACATCCCCAGGAACAAACTGGGACATGAAGGAAAAGTGAAACAAGTCAGCTGTGACCTGCAGCTGCTGTCTGATCTCTTAACAAGGACAGGAAAATTGCTCTGACTCAGTATCTCCTCCAGCAGCTTCAGAAAGGTTTTCTTTTCCTTGTAGGGCCAGAATATCACCAACGCTCCTGACCTGCAACCCAATGCTGTTACCTGGGGCATCTTTCCAGGCAGGGAGATAATCCAGCCCACCGTGGTAGACCCTGTAAGCTTCCTTTCCTGGAAGGTAAGTCCTTCCTGCTGCTGGACACAGCTGTGATACCCTGGAAATTCAGTGTCTGGTTTGTTTCGAATCTGTAACACCACTTGCAGTTGAGTACTGTTGTGGCATTAGCTCGCTGCAATCTGCTCCCTCAGTGTATTTACAGCTTCTCTCCATGAGAGCTTTTCAGAGACACTAAGTAAATATCCGGGAGGCTGGGGGGCCATCATCTCCATACGAGTCTCCAGAGCTCTGAGCAATAGATTTCCCTCCCACTACCCGCACAGGGGCAGTATTGAGCCATTTTACCGTAAGCACGTCTCATTTCAGCTCTGCACAGTTGTGGTACCTCCCACTGCCTGCAAAGCAGGAGCTTCCTTGCTCAGCTCTTGCAGCACTTACTGTGAGAAACAATCCACAGGCATGCCAGGAGTATGTGATGCTGGTTGTCCCAGTTGAGGTAGTATAAAATGTGCATGAAACCCCTCAAACATCTCTCTCTCCTCGGCAGGATGAGGCCTTTGCTCTGTGGATTGAGCAGTGGGCCAAGCTCTACGAAGAGGAGTCGCCCTCTCGCATGATCATCCAATACATCCACGACAATTATTATTTGGTCAACCTGGTGGACAATGACTTCCCACTTGAGAACTGCCTCTGGCAGGTTGTGGATGATACTTTTGAGCTGTTGAACTCTCCACCTCAGCAGTGAAAAACTCATTGTCTACTCCCTTAGTTCTCCCTTCCATCTGCTGACTGCAAGGAGAGAAAAAGCAGCTCCTTTCAGAATGCTGGACCAGAGGCTCCTAAACCCAGTCAGCATTGCTGCTCAGAGTCAGGCAACTCTGATCAACCCCCATTACAAGCTCTTCTATCCCGACAAAAATGTTCCTTATCCCTTTCCACTGAACAGTAGCCAGAAGAACCACCTGTACTTCTGAGCTGAGGTTCTCGAGCTTGAACGCCAGCTCTGCAGGATGGAGGGGTGCTCACCATGGTTATGTTGATCACAGCTTGTAGGAGAAACCTTGCACACCAATGTGATACAGCTCAGTGGAAGTCTGGCAACTTTCTTCTGCAAGGTATGCTGCTTTGGGGACAGAAACACTCCTGTCAATAACATCTATGCAAGGAAGTTGATGCAGCAGCTATCAACCATAAAAAGAAGCTCAAACTGCTTTTACTTTGCACTCCAAAGATGTATTGTATCATGACTAATATCAGACTCTTTTTGTGCTCACTCCAGAAGAAGGTTTAATCTTTCCTAACTTTTCCTCTTAGCTGTACTTCCTGATTTTTAGGGTTTTTTTTTAATGGGAATATGAATTCCACTTCTGGATGTGATCAAATAGGAATCACTCTACTTAAATGTACAATAAACTACATGTATACAAGTGTCTCTTGTACTAGACTAGATTATCTTAAGCAGCACAAAGAATAACGCTTGCAAACTAATCAACTTGGCCCAAGGGAAAGCTTTAAGAAAACAACTGATTGCAAGGCAGTGCTGCCTCTATTTCTAATACATGCCCCAAAGGAAATATGGACAAAGGAATAATAACCACCCATGGCCCTTGCCTCAGTTCTGCATGGCCACAAGAGTGGTAGTCCTTCTCCTTCTCCTTTCCTAGCTGTAGGAAAAAAATAACCTAATCTTTCTTGACCTAATGACTCCAGAAGACTTAGGCCTTGCACCAGTGAAAGAAGGGGCGGCCGAGGCTGCATTGTCCTTAATCCTGCAAAGCTACCCCAGGCTAGGAAAAACAAGACCTTGGGGCAGCTCCCAGTGGGATTTCAAGATCCCTGCTAAGCTGCAAGCATCTCTTTCAAACAAGCAAGGAAGAAAAGCCTTTTCGAGATTCTTCAAACCCTCTCATTACAGCTGTCTGAGACCGGGCTCATATATCCAGGGTAATTACAGGGCATCAATCACAGGAGCAAGTAATGGGAAGGTTGGGGGTCAGACACGCCTGTCTTCCCCCAGCAAAGCTTTTGGTGCTCAGCTGTTCCCAGCAGGTTTCTTCATCCCTGGCCCATTCAGTGCAGAAAGAAACCAGCAGGAAGTAGTCAAGAGGTTGGCCACCCACTGAAAGCCTTAATGAAGAGCTGATGGACTTGGACAGGGGGTGGGGGCCAAGTGGGAATCATCCCAACCACCCAAGGGAAGAGCCTAATCTTAAAAACAAGGTCTCTGTTCGCAGTGACCAGCGTCAGTCCAAACTTTGGAATCGACAGCATGTAGCATTTCCACAGACACATTCCTGCTCACTTCTTCAAAACCACAGTTTGCTTAGTCCCTTACATGACACTAAGCTCTCAATTACCAAAAAAAAAAAAAGTTAAGGGAGGTCCTATAAAGTATTTTTTGACTTTTAATCAGAACTCCAGCAAAATCAGGCTCTAGCAGAAAAGGGAATGCAACCTCACAACAAAAGCCATTAAGCAAGTTCTCAAGTTTGTGCAGTAGGGAGGCAGAATATCAGTCCTTAAATAAAACCTTTCTCTGGATACCACCTCTTCCTGGTTGTCCTCTGGCTATCACCATGCTTTGGGCTTGCAGCACTGTTTTTAATCACACAGGTAGATCATGCACTGCTTTCTAGATTGCAGGAGACCAGCTCTTTGTTGTGACTGCCAGCTGTATCCTCCACTCCTGAAATGAGCAGCTGCAGGCAGGCCCCACACTCAGCAGTGTCCTCTGTCCTTGAGTTGGAACACTGTGAGCTGACGCCATCTTCCAAATGCCTGAAGTAGAGGGGACAAATTAGAAACTCAGGTTGCCCTGGAGGGACTGCAGCCGCCCTCACAGCACCAGTGAACCCAGCTCTTTCTCTAGCAGTGGCCAAGCCAGATGCCTCTCTGCTCACTTACTGTCTTCTCCATCCCCCCTGTGTTACTGTAGCCAACAAGGGAAGTGAAGAGTACAAATCAAAGTGACAACCTCCTCCCTCTGCCTTCCTTTCAATACTTGTGCTCATCGTGTAAAGGAGGACTTAATCCTGCATGGACCTTTAGGAGGCAGAGGAGGGAAGCGACTATTTGAGATACTGGGCTTTGCTTGCACATTCAAGTTTACAACAATTTGCCTGACCTGGATGCAAGTCACCACAGTCCTCCAGTAACAGTGTGGAGCCTGACTGTTCCCTAAATGGGCTCTCAAGAGGCAGAGGATTCATGGATAAAGATCCTGTTATGTGCCCCTTCAAACCCTTATCAGAGTTCTGCTACCCCAAAGACAAAGCTAAATAAAGCTGAAAGCTATTTCCCCTTGTTTTGGGCAAGTCCCATTTCTTGATGTATTCAACTTTTCCTTCTTGATGTATTCAACTTCTCCTTTCAGTAGTGCTTTGTCCAGGGAGGGAAATACAGGGAACATCAGTTGTCCCTTTGTGGTGTTTGCTGATCCACCACAGAGCCTGGCACCCCTTCCACCTTTCAATTCCTTAGTAAAGGCACACACCCACTCACCCTCACAGTAAGAAGAAGCTGTTTCCCACAAAATGACATAGGTGTCTGGAACTCATTTTACATCCCTCTAACCACAAACTGCCATTTGCTTATTATCTTTCTGATGGGACACTTCACAGGAACAAGGAAGCACGTGGGCCCAGACATAGCTCCATGTTCTGTTTCACCTTCCAGGTGGCAATAAGGGACAGCCCTCCCTGGAGTCTTGGCACCTTGAGCTTAGATCTGAACCTTTTAACCCTTATGGTTGTGCCAGAGTTCTGGGGTTCAAAGAATAAAAGCAGCCTTGAGTGCTTACCTCAGACAGTAGGCTTCTGGCTTCAACCTCCAGAAACCTCTGCACTACACAGCTTTGTAAATACCGACGTCTCCATGCTCTCCAGGCCTTTTCTATCAGCCGCTGCCGGTCCTGCCAGGAAGAAAGGCAGTGCACAGATTAGATCATAGAATGGTTTGAGTTGAAAGGGACTCTTATAAGCCACCTGCTCCAACTCCTCTGCAATAAACAGGGATACCTGCAGCTCCATCAGTGCTCAGAGCCCCCTCCAGCCTGACCTTGGGTATCTGCAGGGATGGGGCACTGCCAGCTCTCCGGGCAACCCGTGTGCCAGTGCCTCACCGCCTTATTGTAAAAAACTTCTTCTTATATCCATTCTAAATCTCCCCTCTTTTTGTTTGAAACCATTTCATCTTGTCCTGAGCAGAGGGGAGACAAATGATAGCTGATATTTCAAAGAGAAAGCTGGATGAAGTAGCCACAGCAGCAAACTGGGATTTTACGTGCACATTTGAGCATGTTAAATCCCCAGGTCTCATCTTCTAGAATGTAGTGGAGGCTGCAAGCATAGTGGGCTTATCCACTAACACCCATCATTGACACCCATGTGGCAGTACCACTCACCAACACCTGTGCCAGCATCACCACCCTGCTGGCTTCTTTCCACTGCTGCCAACCCCTTGCCAGACTGCGCAGCCTCCTGGCACGCTGGCACCGGCGCAGCGTCACCGTGTGATGCCACCACCTCAGGTACTTCCTCCTGTAGGCAAGAAAATGAAGAAAACAAGCTTTTGTCAGGGAGTCTCTTCCTGGTGGCAGAACAGTGATGAAGCTCAGAGCCCTCCAACTCTGCCTACCCAAGCCAATTGTCATTCCATTCATCGGAGTCCACCTCTGCTTTGTTCCCAGGGACAGGTCCTACCAAATCATGTCTCTCTAGCTGTTGAGGGAGCAGCAGCCTTTCAGTCCTCCTTTGGCTTCTGTAGATCACCAGCCAGCGGTGAACAGCACTGGGAAAAAACCCAAGGGAAGCAGCTGGAGCTGAGCCTTTCTCTCTGCATCCTCTGCTTTCTAGGAAAGAAAAGAGGAATCACACAGGAGCTAACAGGAGGAGGAGATTAGAGTTGCCACAGGTTCTCAGTCCTTTGGACACTGAAAACAGAAGCAGTTCACAGTAAAAATTTGACTGCAGTTAGCATCTGCTTCAGAGAGAAACCCCAGTCATTAGGTTGGCAAGCACCTCTCCCCCCTCCCCGCTCACACACCCCACATGGCCCCACAAAAGGAAGAGAGAATTGGGTATCTTACTTATGGACAAAGACAAGGACATCTTCTTGCTCTTTCTAGCACCTATCAGGGTACTGCATTGCCGTGAGCACTGGGAAAAGGCAGCTGCTTTTGTCCAATAGTTGCAGGCCTGCAAACAGAATTAACACAGCTGCAACCAAGTCTAAACACATGCACACATACAGCACAGAAACTAGCCTTACAGATACACTTATGTTCATATCCCTGCAGGTAGTTTAATGTGCTAGACCCCAGGCTGGAAACTGCACAGATGAGATCCCAGCAGGACTGACTCAGTCTTTCAAAAAAAAAAATCAATCCAGCTCTTTGTGGTTTATTAGCTGTGAGCCTTTTGAAATAGTATGCACCCCTGACAGCTCTGTCTGCTCTGTGGGGACAGTGATTATCCCATCCCACCTTTGAGCAGAGAGGAAGGAGTGCTCTTGTCTCTCTGGTCAAAAATATCCCCACTCCTTAATACTGTGCTCCAGATGGTTGCCAGATTATGGTGATGAAGTTGTTTGCACAGTCTGTATAGAATTTCAAGGCAGAAACTAAGCAGTCACCACAGTTAGGACAAGCCAAACCAGGTTTTCCTACAAGCCCTGTCAATGCAGCTCAGTGCTCGGTGACCCACAAGCCAACTGGGTGTCCTAAATCATCTCAGAAGGACTTTCTTCTTACCTGTTTCACAGTGGCTACAGACCCCAAGTGCAGGGCTTGCTGTCCCCTTGAGGCCAGTCGCCAGCGCTGACAGGCTTTAGCTTGAGAACATCCATGCCACGTGTGGCTTTTCTCCTCTCCCAGCAGCTGCTGTTTAGCTGTCATGAACTTCACTCTCCATTCTGCAAAACTCACTTCTAGAAGATGCTGCTCTCTGACCTTTCTAAAATAACAGAGGGCTTCTTGCTGCCTCAGTCTGCAGGCAGTGACCTGGGCCCAGATGACTATGCATCTGAAAAACAGTACAAATGCAGAAAAGTGCTCTTTATCAGCACCAAACAGACAATGGGCCAAATTCCACCTTCTCAACCCACTCTGCAGTGTTACATATAAGTGGTCAAAGGAGTATGACTGCTCCCTTCTGGCCATTCCAGTGTTGCAGCTCTTTAAATACCCCTACAAGCAGAATACAATATTACATTTTCCCTCTGCTGACAAGAAAAAGAAAGAATTAAATTAGTCAGTCTGATCTTTCTCTGTGCCAGCAGCTGATCTTTAGGATGATGCTTTATAGAGAAAGGCTGTTTACTTGTGGGATAAGAGTAATGACACTGCTGAAATTTCCTTCAGCACAATCCCAGCAGACCCAGTTAAGTCTTCCTGCTGCAGAACCAAGCTGGATTCAAAATAGCATCTCACTGTGAAGATGCAGATTTTCCTCTTTTTCTTGGCTGAAACGCTGAGGGCCTGCTGTACACAGGATATATGGCTGGAAAAGAATTATTCAAATTTTATTCAAGATTTTATTTAACAAATAAACAAATCCTACAGTGTATATGGGAGGAGACACAATTAACAGCACCGCAAATCTGCACCTACAATAACTCCTCCTCTATCTACTCTGTTGCATGGAGGGCAGCCTCCCTGCACAAACCCAGAAGCAAATCTGCTTTTAACTCTTGGCTCGTCCTGTTGGTTCCTCATTCCACTTGGGTTTTCATTATGCAAACTGCCCCACTGCACCATGGGACGGAGGTGTAAATATCCTCTGCCTGGCAGGCTTCTCTGAAGATCAAGAGAATCTATTGCAGGTTATCCTAGCATGAAAAATGCCCCCCTCAGAAGAAACAGGGCTCAGCCTGCACCACAGCCATGCTGACTGGCAAGCTGATTTATTTATTGACATTAAGGTGAGAAATTAGAGGCGATCTCCCATCAAAAGAGGGCTCAGAAGGAAGATTAATGGTGGAGGCACTCTACGGGAAGGAGCAACATGAAGGACTTCTCCGAAACACAATTCCCACTAGGGTGCCACCACACAGATTGATTTGCAGAAGAAAATGCAACTGGGTGGGGTGAGCATAGAGTCTAAGCATCACAGCTGCTAAGGTTTTACTGGGTTTCTTTTTTGTTGCTGCTTTTTCCTGACCTTCTCTCCTTCTGAGGCTGAGCCTGCAATTCATAAGTAAATCTGCTAGGAACAAACCTTCACTTCCCATGCCTTAAATGAATCCTTGGCATAAATCATCTCACTGATCAAACGGGTCTGAATACACTGGATCCGCTGCTACATAAATTGCTCTTCACTCAAAGCTTCCCTTGGAAATGCTTCAAAGAAAGGAAACAAACCTGTGCAGGAGGAGACGCTCCCAGAATAAAGCAGCATTTTTCAGCTGCCTTGTTTGGCAGCGCCACGTCTGCAGGATCAATCTCTTCTTCTCCTGGCAGCTATGCTGAGCCCACCTCTGCTGCAGCTCCTTCATATTACACTTCCCTATGAGAAAAGACAGGAGCTTGCTAAGTTCTACTTCTCCCTCCCCCATTACAGCGTCCACACAAGAGCAGACAATACACCTGCTGCAAATTGCAGTCTAGGAAATCTTAGTCTGGCCCATCATCTCCCAAGCAGCTGAAAAGACTACTCAGTTCACCCCTTCCCCAATCAGCCTCCCTGATTGCATCTCCCTAGCATCAGTTATACACAGAACAGGGCAATAAGGCTCTCACTCGCCCCTAGACTAATGTTCACACGCCTACAACCAGAAGCAGGAGTTTCTCCAGCCCAACCATTCCCACAGTGTTCTTATACAGAGGTAAATGCTGCTGTAGGATGGAGTAACTTACTTTGACAGTAGGAATGCCAACGCCGAAGAGCATCAGCACTCATCTGGTGGAGGTGACTCCTGAATCTCTGGTCAGCTTCCACTTTCTGGGCCAGTCTCTTCTTCCACAAGCTGAAAACCATCCGGCAGCAATTAAGCTGGTATTTAAGGGCTGCTGCTACTTTTTGGTTCTTGTTCTCTGCAGCCCAGTGGTGCCATCTGAGAAAGGCTCTGAGAAAGAAAAAGATCATTGGAGCATCTGTAGGAATAACTCAGACGGATTCATACATTTGGAATCAAAACCTTAACAACAAATATACGTGAGATATTTTAGGAAATGCATCATATCTGTTCAGATCCTTTCCTAAGTAAATGTCAGGGTAAACCAAAGGCAGTGCAGGGTGTAAGGGAGTAAGGTATTCTGTCCTGGCTGTGCCAAGTCTTCTGTTCTCTGCAATTTCTGAATAAGTAGAGAGCAAGGCCAGTTCAGGAGATAGGAAGTTACCAAGGCTTGACACCAGCAGCACTGGGCTCACTCTAACTTCTGAGGCAGCTCATCAACGCAGAGAGAACAGCGTTTAGATATAATAATTTTGAAGCAGGAAAATAAAATAATGGGCTGCAAAACTTCCACTGAAAAAGAGGGGGCTTCTTGAAAAGCAAGTGTGGAGCTCCTGAAACAGACAGCTTTAGGAAACTTCTGAGAAGCACAATACCTACCGAGACAGCTGCAGAAGCCTGCAGTACTGCTGGGCCTTTGTGAGTTGCTGAGTTCGAGTGGACCAGATGATGAAGTACTTCTCCAGGCAGCATTTCTCCACATGGTGCCAGGAACTCTCCACCTCCTTCTCAGAGCTGCAGTCCTGTAATTCAGAAAAACAAAGTCCTGAACTGCTGTTTAGACACAGTCACTCCCTACAGCTCAGCCTGTTCTTGCTGCTGTGACTTCTGTGGAAGTGACAACTAAGTCTCTGTTGCTAATCATCCCCCCCACACTCACACACATCTATATACAAGGGTCTGACATGATTTTTAAATCCCAGGCAGATGGACAACTTCCAATTCAACTAGAAAATGAACAGGAAGAGCTGCCCTAAGACGTAGCTCAACCGCCCCCCTCTGCCCCCAGGCCTTCTGTTCGATCACAAGAAGAGAAGAAGTGAGATCTTCCATATCCTGACACTTGAAACCCAAAGGCTCTTTCCTCATTTGGGCCACACAAAAAGCAGTTATACATTTACATGCATTGCATTCATTTTTGGGTCTCACCTCTTCCCATGTAGAGTAACTGACAAGAGGCTGGACATCACTGTCTGCACTCTGCAGTGCCAAAGACTGGAACTGACCTCCCACAAACCAATTTTCTCTGCAAGAAAAATATGTCAGTCAGGAAAGCTAGAGAAAGAAGAAAGTATCTGTAAGGCTGTTGTGAGATGGTGTGAGTGACTATCCTGAAAGAATGAATTCGGTCAGACCAAACAACCAGCATCCCAAGGAACAAGTCTCCAACTTACCCAGATCTAGTCCTCCATGGAGGAAAGGAAGCCTGCAAGCACAGCTCCCCACCCAGCTCAGCTGGCAGCTCTGCACATTGGTGTAGTTGCAGGAAAGAATTGTAATAGGGAAGGTATGGCACATCCTCAGCAGTCAGAACGGAGGAGCAGCTCTGCTGGCTGCTGTCACTAAAACTGTATTCCTGCATGTAAGGAGAGAAAAAGACACCATGAGACAAGTGTTCTAACAGTAGAATTACTCTGCTAACAGTTCTGACCATGTCATTTACACTTCCTTTCAGCCAAGAATCAGGAAAATCCAGAATGCATCCAAAGGAAATGCAGGCTAGCAAGGGCAGCTCCAGAGCACAAACACATCCTTGATGGGTAAGCAAGCCATCACAGAGGCAGCAAATATGCCTGTTTGACCTTTTCTCAGTGAAGAGCTTGTTTGTATTTCATCCCTTCCACCTTGCAGCCACAAACAGGAACAAAGTACACACGAGAACCACACTAACTCAGCAGTTCCCAGTATCACTACATGAGGAGAGCTCAGAGAGAAGTGAGTTTACAACTTCTGATGCCAGGACCCTACAGCCTGAGAGCTCTTCAGGTCTAAATACTGAGCACAGTTTCTTAATGACAATTCTACATTGAAGCAGAATTTATTTCCTGAAAAATCCCAATTTCAGAGCAGTTCGTACATAGAGGACAGAGAAAGGACCTGTAACAAAACTTCCTCACCTTTTCCAGTGAGCTTTGAGAGGCAAGAGTAGTTGCAGCACTGCTGTGGAAGCCAGAAGATGTTGAGCGTTCCTCACAAAACAGCACAGCAAGAGGTTCTTCATAGACAGCCCTGTGAGAGTGCTGAGGACTTTGTTTGTTTGTCTTCAGCATGAGATACTTCTGGTGCCACAATTTCAGAGCTTTTCTGAGTCTACACTCCTCCAAAGCCTGAAAGAAAGAACTGAGACAGAAGATATTGAGATGGCAAAGTGACTGAAGAGAGATACCAGAGGGGGACACTGGTAAAGATTAGATGGATAACAGATAGAACAAGAGGTTTTTCCAGGGGGACTGGGAGTCAAGTGGATACAACCAAAGAGGGCTCCAGGAACTGGTTTTGTCACTCACTCAGCTCTGCAGTGCTCGTACAGCCTCTCCTTCCACAACAGATACACTCTCTGGAGTTTCATCTTTAGGCAGAAGTCATCAAGAGAGTAACCTGTTTTCTCAGGAAACTGTGGCACTACAGCCCACCATGGCCAGCTGTCATCACCTTCTGTTGTAGTTCTGTGAGATACTGAGCTTACAGCTGGTCCTTAGCCAATTATAGAGATTGACAAGAGAAAACAATTGTCAGAAAGCATTCATATGAAACTCAGTCCAGCCCACCTCTCTAACAGCTTTCTTTCAAGGCTTAAGGCTTTCTTCTGGGTCTATGAAATAGGGACCAAACTGCTTATAGCATTAGAGACACATCCAGAACAACTAGCCCTCCACCTACTGCTCATGGTATTTCTTAGTTACATGTACTGAGAACTGGAATGGGTTGCCCAGGTTCCTGGGGACCTTCAAACTCAGGCTGGATGGCTTAGAGCTCTAAGTAACCTGATCTAGCTGTAGATGTCCTTGTTCATTGTGGGGGAGTTGGACTAGATCACCCTTAATGGTTCTTTCCAACTCAAAAGATTCTATGGTTCTATTTATTATCTGTGCCTCTCTATTGTCAGGCTGTTTTCAGTTGTTTTTCAGGCTTCAGTTCACTGTACAAGTGGAGAAGGAATAAGTCTCAGCAACTCCAAATCTTAGGTGCTCCACAAGCCCCATGACACTCACCATAATGCTGCCTCCATCTCAGAAGGAGGAGGTTCACCACTGCCTGCTTATTGCTTTCTCTGACCCGCAGCATCTGAAACCACTGCTGGAAGTATTTCCTCATTGATTCTACTCTGAGATGTGTCAGGCTGCTCTTGTAATAAGCCTTTAGCTCAACAGCCTCTTTCCATGCACTGAAGCACCTGAGAAAGACCAAAGGAAAACAGAATACTGAACTACTAAATCTTTTTCTGGACCTTGACTTCTGAGTCCTTTAAATCAAGTTTCTACTGCCACTAAAATCAAATCTGTTTTGACCAAAAATATTTCTACCTTTATTAACTTCTGAAATAAAATAAAAAGATGACTTTAAGATGGAGCAACGCATCATTATCTGGATTGGCACTATCATTCCTTGGACTCCCAGAATGAACTTTTTTCCACATTAAAAATACACCTCATCAACTTACCGGGAGACCAATTTCCTTTGGATCCGAATTGTCAGCCCTAACATCTTTTTCTTTTCCAAGTATCGGGACTGCCACACCTGGAAAATGTTTTGTAGCCGCTTCTTTTCCATCAGGGCACGTGCTTCCAGCAGCCTGCCTTCCTCATTGCTCAGCAGCTCCTTCTGAAGGCGCCACAGTCTGAAAGCTGCTGTGTTACAGGGCAGGAACAGATTGACAGGAAGAAAAGCAACTTAGAAGAACTTGAAACAGCTTAGTGTCACACAGCAATCATTCCCAGGCTGAACTCTAGCTGTCCGGAAAAGGCACTTAATGGAGATAGATCACACTGCTGGAGCAACAGTATCTGCTACAGCTGAATTTATATAAGCAGCAAAGCAGAAGCGTACGGCAGGGCAGGTAAGCCACCCTCTACCACTACAGATATCAGCCCAGCTGTTTGCAGGATCAGTTTCTGGAAGAGCCAGGTCAATGCAACAACTACACCCTGACCAAGAAACGTGGTGAAACAACCAAGAAACGTGGTGAAACAGTGGCTCCATTCAGGCTGCTCCACAGAGCGTGTGCTTACCAGCTAGGCGCCTCACATCTCTTATTGCTTGAGCTCTCCAGCAGAACTCATCTCCTCTCTGCCTGCGATGAAGCTGTGTCCACAGTTTGCTCTCCACCCTGAAAGTTGCGAGTATGCCTTAAAACCCTTCTGTCCAGACAGATGCAAAGTGAATCCAGAGCCTCCCTTCTCCCTGGGTAGCCCTATCTTTTTGTCCAGATTTGCTCTCCTGCCTTCAGAATCAACAGGATGAATGATGGTCTTTTCTTTTGACCATCTCGTGTCCTGCTAGACTGTGGTATTGGAGTGGAACAATACTATTTACACTCATATTCCATATGCAGGAGATAGCTGAACTCAAGAAAGAGTACAGCACAGCTGTGTCAGACACAAATCAGACTGGAACAGTAGTGCATTATAAACTCTAGGATACCAATTACTGCAGCAGTTATCTGCAGCAAGCAATCCATTCACAGACCCAGGCACAAGTTTCACACCCTCTGATAAAAATGTCTGTAAACCTCCAGTTGTCTGAGATACAGTAGGAGAATCCTCTCAGCTTACCTACAAGCCTGCTCAGCTTCCTTCATGTATCCTTCTGTAAGCTGGTGCTGAGCTGAGGTTGTCATAGTTGCTAATCTTCCTATTCCAGAAAAACCCACCGATGAACTTTGGGTACATGAATATGACTCAGACTGTGCAGCTTGTTTTTGGCTCTGTTTTGTCACAGCTTCCTTCCACTGAAGAAGGAACCACATGGTTAAAACAAACTGTAGGCAGAGTATCAGCACCAGGGGCCACATCACTGAATTTCAAACAGGTGCCACTTGTACTGCCCCTGGCCCATCCTCACCTTGCGGAAGCTGGCAGCTAAAAGAGCTGAGGCACATCTTTGCTGGGCTACCAAGCCAAAAGCACTGAGGGCCTTTTGAGGCTGCTGCTGCCTTGCTGCAGCCTTCTTCCAGCTGACGTGGTCCCTCCAGGCATGGAAACACCTAGTTACCATTTGTCTGTCAAGTAAGTGCTGGAAACTTTGAGAGAAAAAGCACAAGTGAGCTCCAATAACATACAAAAATTAAACACAGACAGAAGGTGCCAATCAGACTTCAGGCATCAAACTGAAAAGAAATTCTCTCTAAAGAGTGAAAAACCTGCAGCCTCACACCACACTAAGATGTCCATCTCACGCTCTTCTGATCCACAGATGACAAATTTCAATCCCATCTCATGAATAAGCCCTGTTCTTGATCTTCACTAACTGGAATGAGCATGCTACAATTTGCTGCAGTGAAAGGTTATGTGTAGTACCAATGCTTTTTCCATCGCTATAGTAACTAAAGTTGAATTTAGAAGGAAGAATTTTAAAGATAAAAATACTGGTTTTTAAAATACACTCCATTTTATACAGCCAGCTTTTGAAAACAACCAGATGTAGCTCCTGAGCCAACCATGGCAGATCCACTGCTAAATCCTAAAGCCAGGAATGGTTCCTCAGCCACTTTCCAGCAGTTATCCTCCCATTAGCTACCAGCACACTCACATGAAAATTCTGAGTCCTTTTTACCTTTGCTCATTCACCTTTGGAGACCAGCAGCTGTTCTCTGACACCTGAAAACAGACAGAAGACAACAGTCATTCCAATACCCTACTGTCAAAGAGTTTGCCTGTGCCCAGCATGGTAAGCCATTTTGGATGGAGTCCAGAACAGTCCTGCTAAGCATTGCGTGTTACATTGGGTGCTTTTGCTCTGAAAGCTCTCACACACTTCAGCCACTAAAAGGCACAACAAAACTGGAATCTCAGGACCCTGCAATTAAGCAGGGAAGAAAAATTGCTTAATGCTTTTGGTCTGCATGTAGATCCTGGGAATATAAACAGGTCTTCACATTCCCAAGACCAACCAAGTGAACAAGCTGGTGTTTAGGAAGATGCACGCAAATGTTGAGATGGAGAAGGACCAGAAAGAGGAGATTCTGACCATTCAGAGCCAGAAAAATAAATGACAAGCATTTCCATCACTGCTGGGCTTCAACTTTGCACTTCTATCAGAAAGTAGAGATAAGCACAGTATCTGCTATTAAGGATGCTACACAGCGAGCCTGCCCTCACCTCACTGGGCACAGCTTCCTGTGTCTGGCTCCCTTCTTCACAGCACTGTGGTTCTTTGGCACTCTTCTCTACACAAGGTTCTTCACGGTGGTCAGGAGCTTCCCAGTTTCTCCAGCTGCTTTGCTGGAAGTGTCTGTTTCTCCTTTCTTCTCTGTTTGCATTCACACGTTCTATGTTGGAACAGTCACCAATGTCTTTTCCAACCTGAGTGCTGAAGAAGCTGGACTGGCTGTCCCCCACTGCCATCCTGCTGGCTGCTGGAGATCTACAGTCACATACCTCTTCTAAGCCTTTGCTGGACTCAACAGGAGGTTTGGGGTTCTTGACTTCTACACATTTAATGCTAAGCTGCTGTACTGGCCTAAACTCTTGATCTCCAGAAGTGACTCTTACACACACTTCTCTTGGAGTCCCATACATGGATATGCCAACGTTCATCTGAGTCCCAGCCAACCATGTTTCCAGTGACAAGTGCTGACCCTCAGGGTGGTTTTTTGTCCAGGGCATAGCACATAGGGTTGCCTCACCAGATGTCCCTTCTGCTTTAAGAACCCTTTCACATGAATGATTTCTTGTATGAACATAAAACCCACCAGTTTCCACAGTTGGCTTTGGCTGGGACTGGCATCTGAAATAAGGCGAGCAATCGTTGGAAGAATCTTCTGTATCCACAAGCCTGCCAGAGCCCATCCCAGCAGACAGCCTATCTGGATGGATGCCACCTGAAAGTTTGGTTCTCCACATGCTCGAGTCAATGTATCTGCATCTGTGAGAGACAGAGAGAGGTTCAGCGTGCCCAAAGTCCCTCGTCACTGCACCAAGGCTCGTGCCTTTAGCAAATGGAATGCTCCATCTCAATCTTGCCTGAGCAGCACTAGTTTTTGCTCCAGCTAGCTGTTCTCCTGTGCTCAGGATAGTAGGAGCTGGATCATCAGGAGCAAAGCACAAACTGCCACTGACTGGAAAAGACTTGGGCTCCAGAGGAAGGGAGGCCCGGCTCCCCATGAAAGCAATTTCTTGCTTCAGCCTCCAGATTGAACAGTACAAAGCAGCAGAAATTTGTGAGGACTGCAAAATAGGCTGAAGGGACTCCAAATTAGATGGACTGAGATCACCTGAAGTCAGGGCTGAACTACAAGTGTTGATGCTTTCCCTTGAGCTCCTTGAGGAAATACGCAACACTAATTTGTGCCTAAGAGGGCAATCTACAGCATGAAATGGCAAAGGTGTATTGACCAGCGAAGGGTTCCCAGTATCCATACAAGACACAGCAGGTGGCTGCTGCTTTTCCCCTGGATAGTCACTGTTCTTGTTCCTTCCTTCTAAACAGTGATGATGAGCAGTAGGCACAGAGCAGCTACCAGCTGCCTTTGCTTTCTGACTGTGCTGCTGGGGAAGGCCAAAATTCTCATTCCTTCTCCCTTCTAAGCTACAAGCCTCAAGGTGACAGTGTCCCTGAGGGAGTTCTGCAGCAGGAAGTGTGGACACAGCAAGATGAGGAGTCCTGTGAGCCACGTGCTTCGAGCTGTGCTGCTGCAGCTTAGAGTAGAGATTATTTTGCAGCTGGGAGCAGGATCTGGAGAACTGACTGGTGGTATCCTGGAACAGCTGAGAAGGCCAGGAGAGGTCAGTCTGTAGCAGTCTGGGCTCTCTCTGCCCAGCTGACTGCGATGAGGTGCACAGCCAGCCCTGTTCTGTCTGCCTGGGAGTTACACTGAGTGCAGCAGCCTCAAGCCAGTGATGAGAAATATCTGCTCAACTTCTCGCACCCGAATACAGATCAACATTCACATCCTTCTGAAAGATTCTTTGCTCTGAAGAAAAACAAGAAGAAACATAAACAAAGGAGCATGCATATTTCTTGACCCATCTTCCCTCGTTTGCCACAGGCTTTGGGTACTTTCCTACTAAGTCTCTTTGTCCCTGGTCCACCAGCCTTAATCCTGGAAGTAATATGGCACTATATCCATCCTGCTGTCAGCAGGCAATCACGACCGAGAGCAGGAATGACTGAAGGGAAAGACTTAATCTGCAACAAAACTGCTGGAAGAGAAAGACTTTAAAACAAACACAAGTCAGAGCAACCTGGTTCCATCTGGATTACAATGATTACCCTCTCTTCATTGATCAGAAATCAAATTCACATCTCCTCCATGCCCATTTTCTCCATGGCTGCTAGCAATGGTGCTGCCTGGACTTAAGGTACTGTTTAACTGTGTGTCAATTTCAGGTTCATCCACAGATTGTGTTGCAGCCCTGCAAAGGCTGAAGGCTACATAGGGCAGTTTCTCCTTATCCACACTACAGGACAGAACCGTGTTTAAACATGCAGAGAATTGACACTGTCCCCCAATTTGGAAGAATTACAACATACATGGGAGACCTAATTTGCAGTCTAGCCACTAAGTCAGATGGTTACACATATAGATCTCATGCAGAACAGATCCTTAAGTTGTGGATAACAGCAGTAAGTGCCATTCAAGGGAACTGTGCTTTCATTCCCTCAAATTTTAAATGCAAATGCCAATTGCTGTCATTCCAAGCATTCTTTGCCAATCCTCTTCTAAAAAATGAAAATGATGGGGTGAAAAAGACACGCAGCTAGGTCATCTTTAAAAAAAAAAAGAGAAGAAAAAAAAGCCCAAACAGCCAACATATGAAAGACTGCAGGAAATAAATGCCCACCATCTTTTTCAAACACACTCAAGTAGCAGAAGGTCTCCATTCAAGTGGCATTATTTCCAAAGTATGTGAGCCTTGGACATCCCTGGCTGCAAGCAGCCATATAAACTCCTTCAGTAACCACCACAAGGTGGGGACTGCCAAATGGACAGCAGGTCATCGTGCAGTGTTGCAATTATCCTTGGGAACTGGTGTTTCTGCCTTTGAAATCTCACCAAATGCACCGTTTTTGTTTTTTTCAAGCCAAGTAGAAGTTGGCAACTTACAGAGCGAGCAGACAAAGAACTGCTACCTTCTTTAGGGCATCTCTCACTGCAACCAACTGTAACATCAAAATGTAGAATAGTGTTCTGCGGGAGCTCTCCTTGCATCCCAGGAACACCCAACCAAAGATATCGCACAGAAGTTTTACAAAGGGTTTGGAATTGTCAAACTTATCAGCTCTGGTTTGTTCCATGAACATCTGGAACTTTGGCTCTGGATTGCTCTGTTGTTTTTTCACTTCAGCAGTTCTTTCTCAATATTCTCAATATTGAGAATACTCAATACATTGCCATGCTGATTTGAGTTGTTTTTCACCTGACATATCCCTAATTTCGGTCTCACTGAGACCTGAAAGAGAAAGCCTCCATTAAAACTCATGTGTGTTGTCCTTTCTGTAATTACCATTCAGACCTTACTGTAGCCACTTATAAGCAGTATTTAATCCTACTCGAAAGGCAATAAGATTTTACGAAGTGCCTTTTAAAATTCCCTCTAAGGCCACAAGGCAAACAGCATATTGCAAACTGCAGAAATCCACAACCAATGGATTCCATATGAGCTTTTATGCCTGTAAGCATTTAACGCGTGTGTAGCATGATGCTAATGCATTAAAACCCAAAATCAATCCAATTCTGCAAACAAAAATTAAGCTGATCAGTTTACTTCTGTACTACAAGCAAAGTAAATCGCACAGCCGATGGGAAGCAAATAAAGCTCTTTCAAGTGAGCACCACTCGAGCATTATGATATCGAGGAAGATAAATGACAAACATAACTACTGCACAGATAACTCCATTCTTCCCACCCCTGCTGACCGAGGCTCATGTTCCAAGTTGGAACCAGCAATTGGTTCAACACCACACCAACACGCTTCCAATCACAGAACCAACAGCACAGAATGCCTCAGAAACAAGACTTCTGCCCCCCAAACCAAACCGTCACCATTACGGCGAGCTTGGCCTCGAGCCTCGTGGCGTAGCACTCCTCCCCAAAATATAGAGAAGACGGTCACTGCTCCAGCAGCTGACACACTTACTCACTGCCAGGGCTGCTGGCCATACTGCTCGGCCTCGCCAGAACCTGGGGGGCAGATCAGCACCTCTTTGTCTGCTCCTCTGAAGGCAGGGGCAAACCGGCTGCTTTGTCCCCCCTCAACTCCCAACTCCAGCAGTGAGCTCGCTCCAGCTGGGCTGCCCTAAGCAGCTTATCCCCTCCGATTAGCAACGCCGCCTGTCACCAGGGCTGCAGATGGCCACGGGAAAGCGGCTCTCGCCCACGGCTAATTAGAACAGCGTTCTCAAGGCAGCCCAGACGATGTGGGGTCTGGCACGGCAGGGCAGCTCAGCCACGACCTCTCTCGGGTGCTGCTGCTCAAAGCGCCCTCTCAGCTCCACAGAGAAGGACGCCGTTTCCTCCTCTTCACCCACCGGCTGCCAGTGATGCTCTGGGCGGGAGCACACTGCTCCCTGCGCCGGGCCATGCCCTGCCCTCAGCCCCACGCCACTGAGGGAGAGGCACCAACGGCTGGTTTTTCTTCCTCAGAAGCCAGGGAGGGGCACAGTTTTTATTGTCATCTGTCTCTGCTTTACTGCCCAGAGTTGGCATCCTTGATTCACAGCAAGCGCACTGACACCCCTGCCTTGCTTTGCTCCTCTGTGCTGCCCTCACATCTGCTGACCTCTCCGCAGGAAAGCACACAGCACGTCAGCTAGATGGGCACTGATACAGATTTGGCTGTGTTTTGTTTTGTTTTCCAACTTAGAACAGCTTGGAAGAGCTTCCTTAGATGTAACCATATGTTCATGCTCAGGAACTCAGGAAGTGCTGCATTCAAAGCAGCCATTTCGTCTGTGGTCCACAGGTCTAGGGAAGAAAAAGCTGCCTCTCTCCTGAGTGTTTAAACACATTATTCAGGGATCCATACTGACACTGCATAGTTCTGAAGAACAGTAAAACACTGAATGTGTCCACTCTGCCACTTTAGAGAAAACAAGCTCTGCCTACCTAGTCTTCATCATGGGAGAGTAAATCAGATTAATGCAGCTCTACAGCATCTACCAGGTGTTCATCCAAGCATAAGCAACATTGGCCCAGGCACAGCAGCAGGCCACCATAATGCTCGTGCTGTAGAGGGAATGAAGCATCTGCTAATGTTTAGAGTGACAAAACCTGAAAGAAAAATGCTTGCTTTTAAAGATACATTTGGTACATTTCTAAGGGCTAGAGCAGGGTTAACAGGGTTTTGGTCGTTGAAGAGTCAACACAGCAGCAGGTCTTGTCAGAGAAATGCAATTGTCAAATAACAGATGTATACTTTGAAAGTGAACCTGCTGCAGAAAAGCACAGATCTTCCCAGCACTTGTATTTTCCTTCAGCCAAGGCTGACAATCTTTTCTTCTTCTAACAAAACCTGCTGAACATTTGTTTTTAAGAATTTCCCCCTGATAGCCACAGCAGGGCAGGTTTGCTGTGCATAAGATCCAAATTTATAGTTTGCCATGTTCCAGAGCTCACCACCACAGTGCAGAACTACACAAACCCACCCCTGCCATTCACCAGTCCTTCCTTTCCTCACTCACCTCCACACATCTCCATGCAGAACTGTCCACATGTTTACATTAAGCTTACAGCAGAGCCATTGAAGCCTTGTAGCCCTTGTCCCATAACAACTCCCCCAGACTACAGTCCCAGAGCCTCAGGAATAGCAATATTTTCAAATGAAACATGGGTGACCAGTGTAATTTTTTTTCTAACACAGAAGAACTGTATTCATTTCATAGATTTCTTAGAAAAGTATAACACTTCAAGTCCTATTAAGGCAGGCAGCTGAAGGCAAAAGGACATTTCAAGGCACAGAGCACACGTAATCAACATTTACCAGCCGTTTTAAGTATCCTGAAGGACATTTAACTTTCATAAAAGCATCAATGAATGCTCCCTGGCCCAGTAAGAGCACTTTATACAAACCCCAGCTGCACGTAAACCACCACAGCTAGCACATGGAGTTATGGTCATAAATCTTAATTTAAAAACATCATCAAAAACAGCCTTCAAGAACTCCCAGATGTTTCCTGGAAACGTACCAGCAAGAAGACAGGCTAAACTGTGCTGTCTTAGGGGCAGTCCATAAGCTTGTTAAAGATAGCTTGCCCAGGAATATTTTGTGCATCTCCCTTACTTAAAAACGAGAGGAGGCACAACACAAGACTTGGAAGAATGCAGAAGGTGCATCCACTTGCACATACAGAGGAGGGATTTAGGGGGAGGGGGGAAAGCAGTGTGTTGGAATCACAAAGAGTCACAGAGCTTAAAGTTATCTGAGATGTTCTGGGCTCATTCCAGGAACCCCTCTGCCTAATCTTCAGGAAGGAAAAAGAAAAGTCAAATCAGATCCTCTCCTGTTTGCTCAGTAGAAGGTCTTGTTTCATCAGAACAGACATGGGAGGAGCATAAGGCTGGACTGAGGGAGGGAGGTGTCCGTTCTGCTGCAGACAAGGGCCTCAATATGGATGCTGAGCTGTCTTGCTTGAGTCAGGCCACAGTGGAGAGCTTTCCTGCTGATCAATTGTCTCATAGGCACTGCGGTCCCGGCCTGCACGGTTGAGACCTGAACAAGAAGAGAACAAGCTTGATGAAAAAAATGAATGCAAAAAACTGAATCTCCTAGAAGAAACCAGAAGTTGAGGAGCATGCCACATTACCACGACAGGCTTGTTTTTATGCAGCAAGGATGCTGCCTAGTAATGAAGAGGGCTTTTGTTTCAAAAGAAAGACAGAGGACCTGGAAAATCACAATTCAGTTCTAAAGAAAAATGCCAGTTAGTAGGAAAAGAGAAAATTTGTCAATCACATTCAACACAAATAACAGCACATGGTTTGTACTGACAATGTTGTCAGGAAGACATTTCAGAAGAAGATAAAAAAAGTACTACGTGACTGAATTCCAGCTTGTGCCTGGGAAGAGATTCTGACAGCATGCTGTGCTGAACAGCATGGTAAGGAGGAAGAATACTCAGCTACACTTTCTGTAGGATACAGATGTTAAATCCTAGTCACAAGTACACTCAGCAGGTAATAAAAACTGGCACAAACATGGCACACTGGCCTTCTGAGCCAGCTAAGAGAGATCTGCATGGCATTTGCACAAGCAGCTGATGGAGAAAATATCCACATTCTTCTACCACAAGGTGCAAACAATACCCTGAAGCTGCTGTTTTCCTCTGACAGCCTCTCCTTCTTTATAAGTACCCACCACTTTTCACAAGAAGCTTCATCGTTTTTGCTAGCACCAATGCAGTCTAAGTAGCAGCTTTCAAACACTACAGTGCCTGTTGTACCACCTTTTGTCCTACAAAGCCTTAGGAAAGAAAAAGATAACTGTACTAGGCTGCTGGTTTTGCCAGGATGAACTCCCACACAGCAAACAATCTCTGGCAGCAGCCCCAGGAATGCTTGGCAAAGAAGCTGACAGAATACCCAACCCTAACACCTCTCTCTGGCAAGGCTGCCACATTATTCCTAGCAACTGCAGCCAGGAGGAAAAATGAGTGCCTCCAAGCAAAGGAGCACAAGGTAAACATCAGTCCCATTTCCCAGGTAAGGAAACAGAAGTCCACAACAATCAAGTTAGCAAGGGCACAAAGCATGGAGTTAGAAATCCACCCTTCCCTCACATGCATAATCCAGGTGGAAGGAATGATGCCTTAACTCTCCCATAGAAGGAAAAGGTTGCCAAAGTGAGAGGGACACCCAAAGGCTTCCAAGAAGTGCATAAAATGAAGGAAGTGGAAGAGAGGAAAAACCTGAGTTAACTGAGTAAGAGTGACAGCAGTGACATCAATACCATTGTAGGCAAACTGGCTGTCAGACGAGGACTCCAGGTCTGCAAGGGAAGAGAGGAAGAATGTAAATTTAAGGCCTAAGACTCAGCAGGAGCACAAAAGGGAGAAAAGACACGAGGAAGAGAGAGGCCATCCTCCTCCTTGGAAAGAAAGGCAGGATCCAGCTGCACAAGGCTGAGGCTGAAGGGTAAAGAGTCTTCTCCAGCAGCCTTCCCTAACAGGAGAGGACGTGGCCCACACTGATGTAGAGGAAGCACCCTACCTATGTTGAAGATGTAGTCCCCTCCACGCTCCCGGTACATTCGATACACAAAGTAGCAGGATCCAGGTTTCAGGAGGAGGCTGAAGATGGCCATGCCCATACTGAAACGCTTCACATCGCTGGGATAACCACGCAGAGGGTAGTAGACAGAGATGTGAATGATGTCTGTGAGGACCGTGAGCAGCAGGCCGGTCAGGAACTGGGAAGAGAGAACAGGACATGAACTGGATGAGGGATTAACTACCAGGAGTAACAGCCAGTTATAGGTTCTATCTACCAGAAGATCAATGTTCACACAATCATGCTTTTACCTCTGTATAACACAGTGCTAACCCTTCACATGCCCCCAGGTACACAGATAATCCTAAGTGTATGATCTCATACATCACGCATTTTCTTCACATCTGCTGGACGCCTTCTACTAGTATCTTCCAGGGTTGTTTATTTTTGCTTGCCAATTTCTTTAATGATCAGAGAAGAGATTTAAAAGGCATCTCTAACTCAAGCATATTGAATACTCAGAGTCTGGCGTTAAAAGTGACAACAGCAGGCAGAAAAAAAGAATCAAGTATGCCTTACCCCCGAGAAGCAAAATAATGGATAGTGAATGCTTCTCACCACAGTTTATAGTGCTTAAGTAGAAGCCAGGCTCCCTCGGGGAGACTAGAATAAATAAATAAAGAGTTTGACTTGTTCACTGCTGCACTGGGAGCAGCTGAAGATCATCACCGATTCAAAGGAGCTTTTCTGCCCTCCACCCTCTCCCTGGTGGAGGCAAATGCCCTCACACTCACCATCACGATGGCATCAAGGGAATCTCGCTGCACAATGGCCCAGATCCCCACTGCAAGGACACTGAAATTCCCCCAAGCATAGGAGGCTGGAAACGAGTTATTCATGCATCCCCTGCCAAACAAGACAAAAAACCCAAGCCAAGTTCACAAGGAGCCCGCAGCACTGTTTGCATTTATCCCTGCTCCCATACAACCACTGGGACTTAGGAGCTCCTTGCACACAGGCATGAACAGGGAGTGCTGATTCCCCAAGAACATGCCATTCCTAGTTTGAAGGAACATCCTCTTCTCAAGCCAGGCCAGTTACCAATCACTCACCACACTGTGAGCAGCCAGTGCACCAGAATGATGGCCTATGGAAAAACAGAGAGGAAGACAGATCAGCAATTGGGAAAACTGTGGGAAAAACAACACAAAGTTACACCACCTCACCTCCATGAGACAGAGAGGGAGAGTGCCCTGCAACCAGTGCAAAAACTGCCCTAGCAACTGGGCCAGCAAAGACAAAACCATTTTTTTCTGCTGCTGCTGCTGAGCATTTCCTGTGGTGCTCCACTATAGTCGTTCACTACTGTCATCATCACTGCTGACAGTTGATTCAGAGCACACTTCAGCCTTTTCTAAATGTGTTATTGATTTTGGAACTCTAGCAGAGTTTGTACTGCAAGCCAGACAATCTGATTCACAGCTTATACAGGAGCAATCTGGTGTCCCACCACCAAGAAGTCCATGAATAGACACGACTGCAGCTCCCAGCATTTCTGCTGTGGTCCTCAGTGAATTCCCCTTCACCCCCTCTCAACCCACTCACAGCAGCAGCCTGCCTCAGCTCAATACTAAGAGACCTGAAGCCATCTTCTAGGAACCTAAAAACCCAGTCCTGCCATGCTACACCACTCTTTCCACTTCCAGTGACACACCAGTGCCCAAATACTGCTACATTTATTGACTCAAAACGTCTAACTTCACAAGAACTCTTTGCTTCAAGAAAGTTAATGACCCATGAAGCTGTGACATGAGTGAAACCAGAAGGAGTGATGCCTTGGACTGTCCAGCCACGATGTCACAACATAGATACTGTAAGATAAAGCTCTTGTTCCTCTCTAGCACCCTATCACATCTGCTGAGCATTCAGCATGGACTGTCTGAACTTCAAACGCTGCTCAAACAGGTTTTTAATAATGATTTTTTTTTTTAATTGCTCATGAAAGCCTACAAAATGCTTCAGCACCACCCGCCGCCTCCCCTCCTCCCAGATTGCACAGCAGAGACCAGGCAGAAACTGCTAATCAGGAGAATACAAGATGTTCTTGGATAAGAATGGAGACATGCAAATAGCATTCACCCAAGAGACGATCACAACATCAGGGAAATTCTTAATTAGGTAGTATTTAATTGCACGTTATGCACAAGACCCCTCAAGGCTCAGCAGTTAATATAATTACACAGGGTGGGTTTTTCTTTGTTTTTTTTAAGCTGTCTAGATCAATATTGCAGTTACTAAATTACGAAGCAGGCTCCATCACCAGCATGAAGTCAGGTAGGCAAGGGCTGATAATCCAAGGGGCTGCTGAAAGAAAAACAAAGCTCTTCCTTCCGAGCTATTAGTCTGAGTTATCTGACAGCTCTTTGGGGCACTGTGGAATTGGCTGATGGTCTCAGTATGCTTTAACACAGAAAACGCAGTGTTAATGAAAAACATTATTTAAAGCTGCAGTCATTACGTGAGATAATTTGCAGGCAGCCTCCTGGTGAGACAGAAGAATTCATTCCCATCTGTTCAGGGGGATATATCCATACCTAAGAAGAGCATACGTTGCTTTTTTAAGAGTTCTTTGGAACATGAACTCATTCTCCCTGCCTGAAGGTATTCAAAGCCTACCTGGGCACTTTCCTCTGCAGCCTCCTCTGGGGTGCCTGCTTTAGCAGGGGAGCTGGACTGGATAATCTCCAAAGTGGTTGCAACCCTTTGAGTTGACCTATTTGATCTACTTTTCAAGTTTGCTTTGCTTTGAGCAGGAGGCTGAGCTAGGTGATGCACAGACGTCTTTTCCAATGAAAATGATTCTATGATTCCAGAGCTAGCATCTAAAGACACCCAAGAACAAGACATCTGTTTTCAGGCATATTCATTGTTTTCCAAGCTTGAACAAACTTGATATTTCAAGATTTAGCACAGCTATTGCAGTAACCCTAGCTATCAAACATTCACTGCAAAAATAAGGTGATGCTGCTTTCCACACTTTGCTGAGCATTACTACGAGAGCTGAGCCAGTAGATGCTGCTCCAGGAGAGGATTCCTCATCTACAGTAGGTCAAGGCCTGCTATGTATGTGTTAATTATACAGTTCTACACGCAGGTTTAAGAGGGACCTCAAGGCTGAGACTCTGCTGCATTCTGGTACAAACGCTGCATTCACGCAGGTTTTTGGAATTTTTCTTCTTCTGTTGTTAGGTTTATCCTTCTGATCTCAGAGAAACTGTAAGTAGTTAATGCCAACACATAGCAGTAGTGTGTTTTTCCTGGTCTCTCTCTGAACCTTGTCAAGCTTTGTGTTGTGTTTCAGAGCAGCAGGCCATGATTCAGGGGCAGCACAAAGATGCAGGATAATTATTAACTCACTGTGCTGCAGCCCTTGAATCCCAGAACACAGCATGGCTTTGGTTGGACAGGACCTTGAAGATCATCCGGTTCCAACCCCCTGCCATGGGCAGGGCTGCCAATCACCATCCCAGGGTCATCCAACATGACTCTGAATGCCTCCAGGGATGGGGCACCCACAACTTTTCTGGGTACCCCATTCCAGTGCCTCCCCATCCAAACTTTACAAAAGGTACTTCCCAATGCTGAGAAAAGTTTGGCCAGGTCAAGATCACTCTCACCCAGGAAAAGATCTAAGAATGGTTGCCGAAAACCAGGGAGGAATTGCAACATTTTACATTTTATGGGGATTCATTCGTTCAAGATGCCTTTTCTTCCAGCTCCTGCATCACCACCTCCCATGGTGGAGCATGGGATTTCACTGGCAGATTTTTTAATTTGATATCGTTATTTTTCCCTTTTGTTTTAGTGTGGGGAAAAAGAAAGACAGACACACACAAGCATTAAAAAGAAAACAATAAAAAAAGGAGAATGTAGCACTTTTTCTAGCGGACTGGGAACCACATAATAGCTAAAATTTGACAGAGCAAAATATCAGGGATGTAATAGAAGAACTTCTTCACAGTCAGAGTGATGGAGCACTGGTGCAGGCTGCCCATGGAGGTGGTGGAATCTCCTTCTCTGGAGATATTCAAGATCCATCTGCACACTTTCCGGTGCAGCCTGCTGTAGGGACCTCACTTAGCAGGGGGTTGGCTTCATGAGCTCCAGCAGTCCCTTCCAACCCCTACAGTTCTGTGACTGCAAATACAACCCATAACCCAGGCCCTGAAAAAGCCATTTGTGCACCTGCCTCTAAACAGGGCAATCCCTTCTCTCAGCAAGCTAAAAGAAGGGGAAAGGCGCCTATATGAACTCCCAGATTTCACTTAGCACAGCCACAAGCAAGCCTTCCCATAGCAAGCTGCAAGCACAGGGCAGCTGGCACAGAGCAGCCCCCAACCTGCTGGCAACACGCAGCTCCGAACCAAGGGCTGCAAACCCAACCTGCGATGCTTTCAGCAACGCGCCCAAAATCCCCACAGGGAAGCTGGGCGGTGAGCGGCACGTAGCCCTAAAAGGCTTCGCAAATATGATAAATGGAGGAAAAATAGAGGGAAGCGGGCGGTATCAGGGTATGCTCAGTCTCAGGGGCAACGTGGAAAGGGGCGATTTCAGCCTCCGTGCCAGAAGCCGCTTCCTCCTGAAGTTAACGTCAGTCCCTTATTTCCCGTTTCTCCACCAAATACCGGATGAAAGTTTACAGTCACCCTCATTCAACACCCCCTCCCCTCCCACACAAATGAAGAAAAACAAAAAAAAAGCGGTTTCTTTCGGTCAGATTCAGCCCGCAGCGCGGTCGCCTTTCTGAGGCGGTTTCCCTACGCGCCAACTTCGCCCCGTCAGTAACGCGCGGCGCCCATCGCTCCGTGCCGGAGGGGGGGAGGAGGGGAGGGAGAAGGGGGGGGCGGCCGTCCCGTGCGGCAACCTGAGCGACAACCACTCCAAAAAAAGCCCAACCCACAAAAGGCAAAAATAACCACTTCTCAAACACCCCCCGGCCTCCTCACCGGGCACCAAGCTCAAAACCAAGCGCAACGCCCACCCCCGTACGAGGGGACCCGCTCCCCTTTCTCCCAGCCGACCCGCCTCGCCCCACAGCGGCTCAGCCCCCCCCGCCCCGTACCTTGAGGCTGACGGCAGGCAGCTCCATAGCAGCGGCCCGCCCGCCCCGTGACTCCCACCGCGGGGCCGCCCAGGGGAGGGGAGGAAGGCGGGAGCGGTCGGGACACCGCCTCCCTCAGCACCGTGCCCCGCGGGTGGATCGCGGAGTGAGGGGAACCTCGGCGGGGTGTTTGTGTCCGTTGTCAGGCTGGGCAAGAAGGAGGTGAAGGCCGTGGAGTGCGAACAGAGATGGGAGCAGAGCGGTGCTGTGGGGAGAGGCTGAGGGAAGGAGTTGGGAAGAAACTCATCGCAGCTCCTGAAAGGAGGCTGTGGCGAGGTGGGCTCAGCCCTTGATCCGTGTAACGCGGAGCACGGCCTTACGGCACACCAGGGGAGGTACAGGCTGGATGTCAGGGATTAATTTGGGACAGTTTCTCCTTAGAAGGAGCAGCGATGTGCTGGCACAGCTGCACAGGGAGCGGCGGGTTCACCGTCCGTGGAGGCATTTGGTGTGGAGATGTGGCACTGTGGGCACATTGGGGCTGGATTTGGTGATCACACAGCTCTTCCCCATCCTTAATGAGCCTGTGATTCTGAACTGGGACTTCACCTCTTGATCTGAAAGTGCTTCCAGCTTTAGAGCTGGGGAAGTTGTCACGTAAACGACCGACCCAAGCCCACAGCGTACAGCTATGAATTCTTTCCCTCCCCTGTTCATAACAGCAGTCTTCTCCCCACACTAGTGATGGGATAGCAGAACCAAGAAATAAGGGTGACCGTCTCCAACCTTCCTTGCCCAATGTATGCATGACCTGCCTGCAGAGCATAGAATCACAGAATCACAGAACTGTAGGGGTTGGAAGGGACCTCCAGAGCTCATCGAGTCCAACCCCCTGCCAAAGCAGGTTCCCTACAGCAGGTCGCACAGGTCGGCATCCAGGCAGGTCTTGAACATCTCCAGAGAAGGAGACTCCACCACCTCCCTGGGCAGCCTGTTTCAGTGCCCAGAGCTTGACACTTTACAGGCAGACTATGATGTTTTACTGGGTCAGTTGCTTTCTTGTAATTTGTTTTTAAGACAAGGCCTCTGAGAGTGAGAGAGGAGTCACAAGTTCATTGCAGAAGCTGGATGTGGAAATATGTGAGTCACCCTTCAGCCCCATTTCCAGTTTGAGCAGCACAGTGCAAGGTTATGTGCAAGAGTTGTGTGCAGTGTGGGATCTGAACTCACACATTCTCAAACCAGCCACAAACAGGCCTTGAAAAAGCCATCTGTGCACCTGCCTCTGAAAAGGGAAGTCTCTATCTGCCCTGTCCTTCACTGCATCTTGAGTCCTGCTGGCTGCTAATATGCACTGTTTTTGAAGATCTCCCAAGGCAAAGTTTTAAATCGTTAAATCGCTGAGCAGAAGCAGCAGCAGCAAACTGACCTGCTGTGTAGTTGAAAACGTTTTAAAATGTCCTCCCAAAAATGCTCAATTGTGACACCTTACCAGAAATGTAACTCATGCATTGTCACATCAGCTGGGACTTCATTTCTGTGTCCTGCAGGGAAGCCCTGCTTCCATTCACAGAAGTACTGGTATCAATTGGGATCAACGCTAATTGCCTGAGCGATGTCACGGACTGGATTTTACCCTAAATGGCAAAAAGAAGAGTTGACATCTGAAAATATGTAAAGAGATACTGAATATCTGTATTGCTGGCTCAGTGTTTGGATACAAACTGTGACAGGGGTGCCATTCTGCTGGAATAGGCATCTAGCAAAGCAGTACGGTTTGTTTTAATGACAGTTTCCACTGCAGCCCAGTTTAAGTGTAAGCACTGTTTAGATGCAGCAGTTTGTGGGTGTCTGTGTTCCTTCCAGCATTCTCACTTGGTCTGAATGAGACAGGCGGTCTCATTATCATTTATGCAGTGTGAGCTGTAATTTGGATTGATGTGACTGCCGCTCAATGCAAAGCATTCATTTCCCCTTGTACAATGGAACTGCTTTACTTCATTTTGTTCATCAATGTATTGTGCAATTAATTCAGCTCTGTTTATTATATTCTGGGCTTGTATGTCACGGACTCAGGGGACTTAGAAATGCCTTAATGATCTCATGGATATGAAAACAATGAGAGCTGTGATAGGCATGATGCATTTGCACATCTCTCACACCTATTGGATCTAGACATCGGTTGTTTTTTATGTCTGCTTCGCTTTGCTCGTACCTTGTAAATTGCCTCTCTGTGTAAGCTGCTGCCTCTGTTCCCTTCCTTAGGCCTGATAGCTCAAAGTATCACAAACGTGGTGAGAAAGATAACAGCAAGTTAAAGACTGCGGGGAGAAGCAGATAACCCCGGAGGCTGGAAATAGGGTACAGAGATTTTCTTAACTAGACTGGTCCAGGTGAGTTCGGCTCACTGCAATTAATATCCAGCAATTAGCTGCTTTACATGAAAGATTTTGGTAGTATGCCTAGTGCAAATCAAGTTAAAACCTAATGCACAGCTGTTTCCCTTCCTGGCAGCATGAAAGTGGGGCAAATAAGGCAGAAATGCTTTCCTTTGCATCTTCAGGATGCTGTACCTTTGGTGGGCAGGGTGATAGCAGCAGGGAAGTGCAGCATTAGTACGGTTGCTCCTGCTCTCCTTATTTGGCCCACAGAGATAAAGGCAACCTCAGTGCTCACGGTTCTACTCTTCTTGTCACTCACTTGGGGTCTAGCCCAAAGATAACTGATGGCTGCAGCTGCCGTGGTACCTTTGAGCTGTGTCCTGCCTGCAGAGCCAAGAGCAATGAAAGCATCAGCTCTGCACAAATGCATGTGTCACCAATGGAGACCTTCTGAGTAAGCAGTGAGGAAGGGCATATAGAAGTTGTCCCGGCTCTGCAAACTCCCCTTTAGATCCCAGGGGGAAATCAGCATGCAGGAGCATCGTTTGGATTGAAGGGGACACTGAAGACATTTTGCAGTGCTGGAGAGAAAGCTCACTGCAAAACACATGGCAAGATGATTTGGGGAGTGGGGAGGGTTAATGTGGTACATTGTCAGATAAAGCTAAAAATTCCTTTCTAATCCCAGCAAAAAAGAGCTACTCTTTTTACTGTTTTGCTAAAATGTAACGAGAGATTCTCTTGTATAATTGAAGGATTACCTCAAGATTGGCTGATGCTCTAGAAAACACATGGACATGTCATAAATGAGTTTATGGGGAACATGTGATACTCAGAACATTCACAGAAAAACAACAGCTCTCATTCCTCCAGACTGAAAGAATATATGTGAAAGCACTGTTTTCTTTATGTAGCAGAGTCTGTCTGGCACAGACACGAACAATTTAGTACAGCATGATTTGAAATTGAAGCACTTTCACACCCCATGGATTGACAACAGGGTAATTAGCAGGGGAGGGGGGGGAGAGAGGGTTTCAGAAAAACACCCCCCAGCTAAAATGAATGCGGACTATTACAGACCTGAGAGATAATGATTCCCAAGTGTTTTAATTTGTGCTTCCCCTCCTTGTCTCCCTTGCAGTCATCATTTTGGCAACTGCCAGCAACATCCCTCACACACTCAGCAGCATTCACAGAGCAGGCAGCTGCTGAGATGATTATGTCAAATCAGCACTCTGTCCTCTCTTTTCCACGTCTAATGATTCTCACCCTTGGAGAAGTGCTTTAAATGAGGTAGACACCTCTGGCTCATTGTGAGGCTGCTAAAAGCAGTAGCTGCAGAGCAGGACTTTGGGTGGGACCCTGTCATTCACCTGACTGCAATTATCTTTCCAAACGATTCCACAGAGCCCTGCTGGTCCTTTTTTGGGCCTGGCCCAAAGTCCTTTCTAGGCAGCAGAAAAATCTTCCAAGAGCTGTGGATTGAGCTCTCTGAGGGCAGGAGAGAAGCTGAGTTTGTGTGAATTCTTAATTTGAGTTTCTCAAACAATCCACTGAGAAGAACAGATAAAACAAGGCTTGCTTGACGTCGATCTCCCTCTGCCTTATTCAGAGCTAACGTCCCCAAAGGCAGAACTGTCACTGATTGCGTTGCAACTGGGAGATGCAGGGAAGGAAGAAGGGGAAATGTGCTGAATGTAACCTGGTGGTGCTGTTGCTGCCACTGCTGTCGTGCTGCTGAGCCAGCAGAGCAGCACTTAAAAGCTTTCCTGTGCTCAGAAGTGGGTTGGACTTGCACAAACATTGCCCCTGGGTTTTATGTCACAGGCTGATCCTGCATTCTGTATCTTGGCACATTATTTACTCAACAGCTTTCATTTGCACTGCAGCCGTGAAGTCAGTAATACGTCTGTCGGAGACATAAATCAGGTTGCCTGATTCTGCTCACACTGCTGTGGCAGTGCTGCATGCTCTGCCCTGGCTGCTGCTCCTTTCTGCTTCCCCTCTGCAGCATCACAGTATGATTCAGAAAGAACAAGTCTCAGTCATGAGCTCTCCTACTGAAACCCCAATCTGAGCAATCAGTCCAATAATCTTGTAGCTCAATTCATTATAATTAACTCAATTTTCACTGTCCTTAGACATCTAACTAATCCCAGCAATTAAGAATCAGCTGTTCTCTATATTCAGAGTTAACAGTGGACCTAAAGCAGAAAAAGCAAAGGGTCCCCTGTTGAAGTCTAAAACCTCTGGCTTAAAATTCAGACTTGCTTTTATTGCAGCAAAGTCTTGTTCAAAACACTGCCCAGAACCCTAGAAGGATACGGGGCACTGAATGCCTGCATCACCAAAGATAAAGATCCCTGCCAGATTTCCAGCTTTCTCTTACTTGCACTGTTCCAAACAGACTCAGCTCCGATATCAGGAAGCACCGCAATATCAAAACTTGGCTTTGATAAAAGACAGCGCGTGTGATTCTTATTGCTGTCACACAGACCAGGATTTGAGAGCTCTGCAATTGACTGTGATCAATTAAAGCCTTTTTCCATTCGTGCTTTCACTGACAATAGCACTGGCAGAACCACCTACTGTTCTGCATCTGTGCTGAGGGAGGGGCTGCATTTCTCTCTCTGGGTTAACAAACTGCATCCCTGCTGCCACAGCATAGAGCTGTAGCCAAGCCACCATTCCTTACTCCAAATTTTTGGGCTG